GAGTAGTGTAACCTTTGAACTTTCAAGGACTCTATTATGGGATGTTCCCGCGGAGTCTCGCTCTCGTGGGGGTTCGTCGACTAGCCAAGCTGCGTCTTGTTGGAGGCTCACACTTTGTATAGAATAAAACCGTTAACATCCAGCTTACTTGGTGTCTGGCTCATTCAATGAAGTCCGAACTCATCTAGTAACATCCATAGAGAGTTACATTATAGCTGTAACTTTGTCCATCTGTTACGTATTGATACAATATTACGTGTTTTGTTTGCGGATATATTTTGACGTGAATAAAGCATCATTTTTACAATACAAAAAGCCAAGAATAACTCATTTGTGTCTGACTGAGTCACGTTCTTCCACATCATTCAAAACCCATCAGCAGTGAGCATCCAACGCCAGAAGTTGCTCATGGTGGAGGACGACGAATAAGCTAACCTGAGGTATATTAACTGTGTGTTAAGACTACGCAAAAATGGAGGACTGTACTGAAAGAAAAAAGGCTTTGAGAATTCAACGACGAAATCGAAAAGGAACGCTAACCAGAAGTTTATCAGTGATTCGTAACATCGCCGAAGAAGGCCGACATGAGGATGTTCATAAAAGAATCGAGAAGTCTGAAATAACGCTGGAATCAATAGAGGAAGCCCATGCAGCATTGGTTGAACTAATTGAAGATGAGGACGAATATCTACATGAGGAAGAGTGGATGGAGAAATGCCAACAAGAATATGTCAGAGAAGTCCAAGAAATAAAGAATAAACTGTCGGATATGTGTAGTGTAAAGGTAACGGAGAGTAATGAAAATGATAATATGATAGTTTAGTTAACTCTGACGTTGATGATAATGATGTTAATACAAATGATGACATTGTAAATGTAAACTTGAGTGGCAATGCTAATGCTAATAATTCAAATGTGTTGGAAAATAATGGTCTTAACGATTGGAATAAGTTAGTGAAAGCACTTACGCTTCCTAAGGCTGAAGTCGCTCAATTTAACGGTGACCCATTGAAATATCATTTTTCGTAACGGTATTTGATTCATTAATGAGTAATGTAAATGATGATAGGATAAGGCTTAATAGTTTGCTTAAGTTCTGTACGGGTAAAGCCAATGACGCTTTACAAAGCTGTCTCATGAGATCACCCGAAGAAGGTTATCCTTTAGCAAGGAAAATTCTAAAAGAAAGATTTGGAAATACTGGTGTAATCGTACAAACGTGGGTGGGTAACGAAAATAATTAACAGGCCCAGAGTAGAAGACAGCGACCTAAGAGAATTTTCCGATGATCTTTGTGATTGTTATGAAACTTTAATTGCTATGGGCTATGTAAATGAGCTTAATAATCAGAGAAGCCTTAAAATGATCGTAGACAAGTTAGCAAAGCACTTGCAAACTAGATGGGTAAGAGAAAATCATAAATTAAAATGCAAACGTGATGGAGCAAATCCAGTATTAAAAGATGTAGTAGATTTTGTTAAATTAGCGGCCGAAGAAGCAAGTGACCCAGTGTTTGGATTTAAATGTGGTAATGATGAGACTAAGGGTACTAGAAATAGAGATAGGTTTAATGATGCTAAGTATGACAAGAAGTCGACTGTGCTTTATGTAAACGGTAAAGAATCATATGTGTGTTATGTATGTAATGGGAAGCACTGGACTGATCAGTGTGAAACTTTCCTAGCTAAAAAACCTGCCGAAAGACTGGGAGTGATTAAAATGAATCACGCTTGCTTTAGCTGTCTTAAGAAAGCTGGGAGTGATCATCGATTTTCAACCTGTGGACGCAGACGTCAATGCACCGAAAAGATAAAGGACAAACAATGTACATCCTTCCATCACCCACTACTTCATCAACATCAAGTTACGAAAACGGTTGGAGTGGCATTTTTTAGATTGCAGACTCTATGCTCCCTGTTATCACAGCAGAGTTTGTGAACAACTACAATGTTAAAAGAGGAAATTTACTTTTAGATAGCGGAGCTCAGATAAGCCTCATACGACAAGGACTGACTGAAGAACTGAAGTTAAGGGGAAAGAATGTATCGGTAAACATAATGAAAGTTTGATTTGTTAGTAGGAGTCGATCATCCTAAGATGCACACGGGAGAGACGAGAGATGTGATGGATCATATTGTTAGAAAATCACCCCTAGGTTGGGTTGTATTTGGATCAAGCGGAACGACAAAGAGTAAAGTCAACCAAGTACTTCATGTTCAGGTATCATCTGATATTGATCTTCGACAATTTTGGTCCACAGAAAACATGGGTGTAAAATGTGATTGCAAGCCTAGCAATATGACAAAGATTGAAAAGGAAGAACATGACATCATATGGAATTCGTGTACGAAGCTGGATAAGCAATGGGAGGTGTCCTATCCATGGAAAGATGACCCCAAGCTTCTACTAAATAACAGAAAATATGCTGAGAAAATGCTTAATGCAACGGAAAGAAAGCTGGAAAGAAATCCGGAACATGCTAAAATTTATCAGGAACAGATGGACGTTATGGTGGAGATGAACTTTGCCAGAAAACTGACAGAAGAAGAGATGGCTAAATACACGGGACCGGTATATTATGTGTCACATCATGGTGTTTTAAGACCAGAAAAGAAGAGCACACCACTGAGAATTGTGTTTTAACAGTTCAGCCAGATTTAACGGTTCATGTCTTAATGATAACTGGTTAAAAGGTCCTGATCTACTTAACAATTTGATAGAAGTTATTCTAAGGTTTAGAGAGAATCGTGTTGTAATATGTGCGGACATTTCAAAGATGTACCATAGGATTAGAATTCCAGAGTCCGATCAACACGTTCATAGGTATTTGTGGAGGGATTTCGACAAGACTAGAAAACCTGATGTTTACATTAAGACCATTGTCACCTTTGGAGATAAACCGGCACCAGCTATGGCCCAAATAGCTTTGCGAAGAACTGCCGAAGACGGCAGAAACTTGTTCCCAGAGGCAGCGGATGCTATAACCAGAGACACATACATGGATGATATTTGTACGTCAAAGGATAACGTCAAAGCTGCTATGCAACTGACTAAGGACATCGATAGAGTACTAGATGAGGGTGGATTCAGTGTAAAAAGATGGATCTCCAACGCGAATCTGCAAAGTCATGATGATGCTAGCAACCTGAGGGTACCATGAAAACTGTAATGGAAGAAAAGATCCTGGGGATGGTATGGGACAACCGAAAAGATGAATTGTCTTATAAAGTTAAATCAATAAATGATGTGAATGGAGATATTTTTAAGCTGACCAAGAGACAAGTGTTACGAGAAGTTGCGAAGAAGATATTCGACCCAGTGGGTTTTGGCGCAGCGTTCATTATAAAGGCTAAAATAGGTATGCAACGACTTTGAGAGCTCGGATTAGATTGGGATGAAATAATTCCAGAACCGATAGCCGCTGAATGGATTGAACTGTTCAAAGAAATGAAGAAATTGAACAATGTTACATTCCAACGATGTTTATCACCACTGGATACTGTAGGTTTACCAATGCTTGTAAATTTCTGTGATGCTTCTGAAGAAGCATTTGGTGCGTGTGCATACTTACGATGGGAAGTAGAAGGGGAACCACGATATTCCACACGATTTGTAGCAGCAAGATCAAGAGTAGCCCCCTTAAAGAAACTTACAATTCCACGATTGGAACTACAGGCAGCAGTCTTGGCTGTAAGACTACATGAAACAATAATGTATGAAATAAGGCTGAAGATACAGAGAACAATTTTCTTCACCGACAGTACAATAGTGTATGGATTAGAAGTGAATCAAGAAGATTCAAGCAATTCGTATCAGCAAGAATCGGTGAGATTCATAGCAAAAGTAGTGCGTCGCAGTGGAAACATGTTCCGGGAGAGTTAAATCCAGCCGATGATGTTTCGAGAGGCACAAGTGTAGAAATGCTGTCAGAAAGATGGTTAGTTGGACCAGCATTCTTGAAGCTACCATTGGAAGAATGGCCTAAATATGAAGCGACAACAAAGTGTGTAGAAAATTCAGAGTTGAAGAAATCAGCATTTTGTGCCAGTGTGACTGCCGAGAAACCAAAAGATGATATTGAAATAGAGAATTACAGAACATGGGATGAATTAGTAGAGGCATATGGCAAAATGATCTATGGATCTGAGTCAGGTGTTAACGGCAGATCAGCTAAACGATGTTGAACTAAAGCTACTGCAACAAGTTCAAAGTGACAGCTTCAATGAAGAACTTAATGACCTACAGGAGAAGAAGGATGTGAAAGCGAGCAGTAGACTCGTACAATTGGCACCTGAAATTGACGAGAGCATGGGTGTAATCAGAGTTGGTGGTAGACTTAGAAAGGTTGAAACTAACGATTTAGAACCACATCCAATTGTACTGGATCCTTCACATCATATTACTAAGCTGTTGGTAAGGAAGGTAGATAGCTCTGATTTTAGTCATCAGGCAGGACACGAGCAGATATTTGCAAGATTACGCCGTAGGTATTAAATACTTAAAGGTCGGAGTATGATAAAGTCAATGCTTAGACAATGTATAGAATGTCAAAGATGGCGAAAGAAGGCAGAAGTACCAGTGATGGCCGATTTACCCAATGCCAGATTGAGAATTGGAAAACCAGCTTTCTACTCGACAGGAGTTGATTGCTTCGGGCCAATGAACGTTAAAGTAAAGAGGAGCACTGAGAAACGTTGGGGAGTTGTGTTTAAATGCATGACTACATGGGCAGTACACTTAGAAGTCATTGAAAGTATGAACATGGATGCATTTCTCATGGCGTTTCAAAGATTTGTTTCCCGACGAGGAAAACCGAAGGAGCTGTACTCTGACTGTGGTACAAATTTCAAAGGAGCTGAAAAAGAGCTATGTGAATCATCTGATGCTATGAGTTATGACCTAAGACAAAAGCTTGCAAGTCAACAAGTAAAGTTCAATTTTAACCCGCCAGGCGTTCCACATTTTGGTGGAATCTGGGAAAGAGAGGTGAGATCTATAAAGAATGCGTTAAGATGCTCATTAAACCACAGTCTTGTAACAGATGTTGTACTAAGAACAGTATTCACAGAAGCGGAAAGTGTAATGAATTCCAAACCTCTTGGATATGCCTCGTCTGATATAGCCTATCCAGACCCAATAACGCCAAATATGTTATTAATGGGAAGACGAGACACTGCTCTACCTTTGGTGGTCTTCAACGATGGAGAAATAAGAAGTAAACGTCACTGGAGACACAGCCAATTTATTGCCGAGCAGTTTTGGAGACGATTCATGAGAGAATACTTGCCGAGTCTTCAAATAAGACAAAAATGGCACAGAGAAAGTTGTAAATTGAAAGTAGGAGACGTTGTTTTGATTATTGACTCACAACAACCTAGAGCTCAATGGCTGATTGGAAAAGTAACGACAGTATACCCAGGTGAAGATGGCCGGGTGAGAGTAGCAGAAGTTTTAGTAAATGATACAGGGAAGACATACAAAAGGCCTGTTGCAAAATTGGTAAAGCTTGAGCAATGGAAAGATGATTAAGACAACTCATTTTAAAGGGTATCTGAATTTGGGAAATGAATTTCTATTTAATTAATTGGGATTTATTGTATAACATTTTCATGTTTTATGTGTTAATTGTTTTATTATGAGAGTTTCTCATGGGGGGATGTTGTATTTTAGTAGAGTATAAAGTGTTAGCGCGTATTACGTAATGACGTACCGTAGTTATAGCGACAATGACGCGTACAACCGAAGTACGTACTTCTATTGATCGCGTGCGTAGGCCTATATGGCTCTATTCAAATATGTTTGTTCTAGTAAAGTAAATCAAAGAGTATAAATCATAGAGATATAATAAAGGCTACGTTCAGACCTGTGAGATACTCCAGGCGTATCTAACGCCGGGCGTGCGTTAATCCATGGTGTAACTAGCGAGATGTCCAGTGGGCGATTAATGAACGCTAGCGTAAGTATTCGCGCGA